GAGATTTGTGGTCTTTTTGGTTTGGGACAAGTGGAGAGATGCTCTCTTGCTGTGTCTTCAGCCAAAACAAAAGGTCAGCTGGTTGTTTCTTGGCCTCCCTGATCTAGCAGATTTTCACCCCAACAGCAGGCTCCCAAGTCTTTATTTGTACAATAAATATTTATTCGAACAATAGGGACTTAGTTAAAACCTTTATTTGGTGGCCACAGCCAAGCCGGTGCTGTTGGCTGGTGGGAGCGGAAATCCCACCAGGCCTCAGTGTGAGCAGGCCGGGGTACTAACTGTGGGGCCATGGGGCTCACGCGTTAGTTAAAATATCAGCAGATTCAGGTGCAGCCGCTAAGCCAACAGGAAAACAACAGCAAACCTTGCAGCCACAAGACAGAGATGAATGTTAAGTACAAATGGCCTCTTGAAGAGGCTCTCAGAAGTGAGACACGGGTAACAAGGCCAAAGAACAGCAGAACATAGTTTATATGTAGACATGCATGGTGGTCCCCTTGGGACTCCGTCTCTCATGAGTCCTTGTGAAACATGCCATTATGTATGACTTGGGGGGTTGAATATTCAGGTGATTTTTTTAAACAGTCACCGAATTATTGATTGGATCTCTTTATTGATCATATTACTTATCCAGTACAGAAAAGGGTGCCTAGTACCAAGTTGATTTTTAAAGTTAGTGTGTGTGTGTGTGTTCACAATAAGAGGCAAGGAATACAGACACTACAAGTTAGTAATATGGACGGTTTTTTATGGCAGACCAGAACATTCTCCTAACTCAGTAACAATCTGTGGTAACTTCAAGAGCAGGCCACATGCCGGTGCTCTTGGGAAAGCTGTTGCAAAGGGCCAGGGTGTTCCTGTGTTGGCCTTTGGGGATAATAGCGTCTGCCTGCCACACATGTCCCTAGGCCTCAAGATACACAGCCTCCTTTCTTCTTCCAACAGCATCCTCTCCCTGCTTGGTACTGGCCCATGCTGAAGATAGGTTTCTCTGGTCTCAGAGAAAGCAGAGCCCTCCTGGCAAGAGCTTAGCCAGTTACTGACCCGGGATGAGGAGAAGAGTGTGGGAGGAAGGGCTTTGGGGCAGACTGCCTGGCTTGGAGTCCTCTCTTTGCCACTGGTTATGGCAGCTGAGCCTGTCACCCGGATTCTGAGCACATGCTTTGTCACCTGTAATGTGGAAACCAGGCTAAAGTGGTATAAGAAGAGGCTGAGGTAGCCCGTGTGACGCGCTAACCACAGAGTCTCTTGCGGAGCTAGAGTAAGAACTGTGGCTGTTACTCCTGGGAGAAGCATGTGACCATCTGGCCACAATGGTGAGTGCCACCTAGGACCCAAAGGTAGAATCTAAACATGCTAGTTTCACACCTTTATTATGAATAATTTGGGATCCACCTCCCCCCTTTTTACTGCTATTATTGCTCTTTTGAAACAGTGTCTCACTATGTAGCCTTGACTGGCCTAGAGCTGGCTATGTAGACAAGCCTGACCTTAAACTGATATACCTTTGCCCAAAAGGGCTAGGATCAAAGGTGTACACCAGCAACCCGGCTTCATTTCATTTTGAAGTTTTATTTTTATTTTGTGCATGTCTCTCTGTGTGTGAATGCCATAGGTACGCGTCTGTCTGTGTGCATGGCACAGATGTGCGTCTGTCTCTCTGTGTATATGCCGCAGATGTGGTGGTGTCCCACTGAAGCCAGGTGTCAGATTCCCCAGAGCTGGAGTGCCAGACAGCTGTGAACCTCCTGGCATGGGTACTGAGAACCAAGACCAGGGTCCCTTTAAGAACAGTGAGAGCTCTTAACTGCTGAGCCATCTCTCGAGCTCCTTGTTTTGTTTTGAGACCCTATCTATGTAGCCCAGGCTAGCCTGACACTCACTATGTGGAACAGGCTGATTTTGAATTTAAGGCCATCTTTCTGTTTCTGCCACTCAAGTCAGTACTGGGAATGGCTAGTATGAGTCACCTCACCTGGCCGCAGAGTGGTTTCGCATGGAAGTGTTTGAGAAATTACTGTTTATTCTGAAGGGTGAGAACCCTGACAGAAGGCTCTTGGCTAATAATGGCTGCTTTTACCTTAGGGACCACTGCCACCATGTGGCCACTAGTAGGCAAAGGTGAGCATCTCACATGAACTGAAAACAATGGCGTTCTACCCTTCCCGTTGCCAGCTAAGGCAGTGAATGGTTCTCACCCTTTTTAATGCTGAGGCCCTTTAATACAGTTCCTCATGTCGTGATGACCCCCAACCATAAAATTATTTCGTTGCTACTTCATAACTGTAATTTTCCTACGGTTTGAGTCATGGTGTAAATACCTGTGTTTTCTGATGGTCTTAAGCGACACCTCAGAGGGTCTCGACCTACAGATTGAGAGAACCACTGGGTTAAGGGCCTTCTGTACTACACAAACGTCCTACCACAGCGAGACAATCCCCCATTCGCTGTTTGCTTTCTGAGACAGGGTCTCACTAAGTTGCCCAGGCTGCCTTGAATCTGTGATCCTCCTGTCTCAGCCTCCCAAGTAGCTGGGGACACAGGTCCACACACTAACTAGGTCGGGCTTGGTCATTTGGCTTTAATGGCCTGGGATGCTTTCCAGTGCTGTGACTCTCAAGCACAGATCTCATTATTTGCCCAGGCTGTTATTGTCAGTGATCTGTTTGCCTGACTATTGCACAAGGTCTGGGCTCTCTCCCTGAGATGTCAAATTCACAGTAAAGCCAAGAAAGAGAAGATTCTTTATCTGATTCAAAGACACTAAGGGCCAGAGATTGGTATAAGTGCCCAGCATCAAAACCAAAGCTGTTGGGAGGAAAAAAAAATATTTTTACTATTTAAAAGAAACTTTGAAAAAAAGAAAGCTTGAAAACTACATGTACATGTATGAATCTGTACACGGGTGTGTGCACACGTGTACAGGTGCTCACACAGGCCAAAAGAGGATGCCCATTGTAGCTGGAATCCCTGGCAGTTGGGAACCACTGAACCCACGGGTGAATTTTATGCTAAGCTAGTTCATTATTGTTACTATTCCACATGACAAAAAAATTTCTTCTGGCCGGGTGGTGGCGCACGCCTTTAATCCCAGCACTCGGAAGGCAGAGGCAGGCGGATCTTTCTGAGTTCGGGGCCAGCCTGGTCTACAAGAGCTAGTTCCAGGACAGGCTCCAAAGCTAAAGAGAAACCCTGTCTCGAAAAACCAAAAAAAAAAAAAAAAGATGTTTAAACAAATTCCTTTATCTTGCCCTAAAATTAAAATCTGAACATTATAGATAGTTATCTTCCCCCTCCCTAGCCCCCAGGGATTCTCTGCAATTTGTAGACCAGGCTTGCCTCTGCCTCTGGAGCACTGAGATTAAAGGGATGCCTCTGCCTCCTGCACACTGGGGTTAAAGGCGTGCTTCAGCACTGACTTTCTGTTTAAGTTGCTGTCTCTGGTTCGAGGCAGGACACACAATGGTGAGCTGCCATGCTGGGACGATGCACAAAAGCTCCCAGCTGTTGTTTAAAGCTCCCCAGAGCCATTATATCTGCAGCCCCCCAGCAGTCAGTACCCCAGGCTGTCTTAAATGTTCTCTATGTACTGTGTCTTGAGATACAATCTCATGTAGCTCCGGCTGATCTCAAACTTGCTATGTAGCCAGGGCTAGCCTTGAACTCCTGAGCCTCCTGCACGTAAGTGTTATCACCCTTGGCTTGCAGGGTTTTTATTATTTTGATGCACTTTTTTGAAATGGGTTGATTATAACCCTTTCTGGCTTGGAACTTGTTGACCAGGCTGCCCTGAACTTGTAGCAATCCTCCTGCCTGTGTCTCCTGAGTGCTGGGATTGTGGATGTGTGACTCCAGGCCCAGCTTCATGGGGCTTGTTTTCTGGTTTTCACTGCTGAGAATTGAACTTGGGAATTCTATGTATGAAGAGAGGACTGTCCCACTCAGCCACATTCTCAAAGTCAGAGCTCTCAACATATAAAGTTGGGAAGATGCTGTTCGTGACAGGGTAACACAGGAGATGCCTCCCACCCCCCAGATGTTCCGAATAAGAGGATCTGGCTAGAAAACCTGGGGACAGAAAGACTAAAGAGCCCCAGGTGGGGAGAGAAGGTAGAGAGGCAGCTGGAATGCAGAAGAAAGAGGCAGAGCTGGGGAGGCCCAGGATGAGGGACAGGGTTCAGGAAGTACTGGGGCTGGGTGAGGAGACTGGAGAGGACTGGGTGAGGAGTACCTGGAGACTGATGGGAAGGGAAGAGGGACAGGCAGATGTAGAAGAGGAACGGGTTTTCTTGAAGAACTCCTGTTCTTTCTGGGCTTCTTTAAGCTGCAATTCAGTCCTTCATAAAGAAGCGCCAAATACAGATGCATGCTGGGAATGAGATACGGATCTGTGCTAAGGTCAGAGGAAATCTGCTCACTTAGTAAATTTAGTGCTTGTTGGGTAAATATGAGAACTTAGGTTCCACTTCCAGACCCACAGAAAAAAGCCTGACATGGTGATAGTGGTGCGCGCACGTGCACGCACGCATGCACACACACACACACACACAATCCTAGTGATAGTGAGGTAGAAACAGGTCCAATCTAGACTACTTAATCAGTTCCAGCTAGTGAGAGACCCTGCCTCATAAGACAGTTCCTGAGATTCAACAACTAAACCTGACCTTTGCTCTTCACATACGCAGGTGTGTGCATGCACGTGAATGAGCAGCAAGGCTATACCTGAGTCATGGCTTGTAGGTTCATTCTGTTGCTTCGACTCCGAATTCCAACTCCCTCATCAAGGGACGGACACCTGCATCATTTCTGTGGCTCCTGACACAGGGATGCTTTATTAGCTACCATGGCTTCTTTGGTCCCATACGTGGGGGAAGTAGAGGCAGAAACCAGGGGCACTGACATGTCCCTCAAAGCTTAGCCACCCAACCCCCCCAACCTTCTTCCACAGTCAAACAAAAATAGCCATCCCTAAAAAAGGAAAAAAGAAAAACACCACACGCGTGTTGAGTTTTATTGAGAAAATAACTGTATAGCTGCATGGAACGCCTTCACAGTCACTATAAAACTGAAGCAGAATAAAAACATTGAAGTGGTTAACATAACACAGGAAAGCCAGGTACAGAGTATCATTTTTTTTTCAAACACAGTATTGCTGCTGCCCCTCATCCCCCCAACCCACCCTTCCTCCAATTAAAAAAAAAATAAGGAAAAATCATTTGGATAAAGAGCAACACAAAATAAAACTTGGCAGCTTACGGAACGCTTAAAATCCAGTAAATTGGTCGTGTAACTGAAACTGGATATAGTCACCATCTCTAACACTTAGGCTTTTTTTTTTTTTCAATACATAGGTTAAGTCCATTCTTCAGGTGAAAAAAATATCTTTAAAGACAACAATCAACACTGTTTTGGTGTTCCTTGTTCTAGTGTGTGGGGGGGTGTGTGCGTGAATGTGTGTGTGGACACTGATTATATACTGTTTCTATGTCGTTGCCTAGGGTGGGCAGCATGCACAGGGAAGAGGAAGGGACGTGCACCGTGTCCTGCTTCCTTTATTCCTAGATAAGACAGCCAAGGCTGTCAGCCTCGGCTCTGGAGGGAAGTGGGCGTTCAAACACCGCGGTGTGGAGTTCTTCAGGAGGGTTGTGAACATCTACGGAAGCTACACATTTCTTACAGTTGAGACTAACAAGCTTTGATGCAGGGTAGAGCCGAGTGTCCAAGGCAAAACTTGCGAGGAGCCTCTCACCTCGGGCCTATGGGGCAGGGCGTCCTTTCCTCCAGGGACCTGCTGGATCACGTCGGGTAAAGTGATGAGGCCCGTGTGGGATCCTAAAGCCTACAGGGAGACGCCCAAAGAAATGGCCCAAATGTTTCTTGAATGAGGAAAAAGAATTAACCCCCCCCCCCGCCCTTGCCAAGAACACAGAGAAAAGCTGGCTCTCCCGTGAAACAGATTTCCATTTAAATAGAATATTCTAGAACCGTCAGCAAGGAGAGCCAGGAAACAAATGGGAGCCATTAGAATTCAGGGAAACCAGGAAAACAAGGAAATGGAGGGGCCACCGTGGGAAAAAAAAAAAGCTGTGTGACCAGGAAAGAGTGGCAGAAACTGGGCCTCTCCTTACCCACAAATGGAGTACGGCCCACGGTACCCGGCTCTAAATCCCCGACCCTTCAGAACTTCTTGTTCAATCTACTGCAATCAAAAGACCACTTCATCTGCCACCAAAGTGACCCCACAGACTGTGTGGGGGCTCCAGCTGCCGATTCTTTCCTCAGTGTACCCTCCGTGTGGGTCCAAGGTTCCCTTCCAAACAGGACATGAAATCTGAGGAAATCACGAGGACCGTTTCCTCTTGTGAAAACGGAGGGAGTTGTCTGCACTGCCTCCACAGTCTCCAGCAGATCCCAGAAAACATGGGGCAGCCAGTTTTCTTGTATGACCCATACTATCTCACTCTCTAGCTCTATATGCCACTGGGTAGGGCCCTGGGACACTTATCCCTGTGTTTCCCAAGGGAAGGGACACCCACATCACTGTGTTCTCGGGCCAGGCAGTTGGGGCCTCCAGCTGGAACTCCTTAGACAAAGCTGTGCCCTCCAGTGTGCTAGCTAGCAGGACTTCTGATCCGACACAGATGTCATGTGCCAGGACATTTGCCCTGGGCCAGTTTCCCTTACTGTGAAGCAAATTCCTTGCAGCAGCAAGGGTCTCATTTGTTCTCTGCCCCAACATCTAGCATTTTTAAAAACATTATGTCTAAAAGAACGAACCATCTAAAGGCAGGGTGCACTCCCCTCGTATAACCTGGCTACCATCTGTAGACTTTGGCTTAGAGTTACAGGGTCCCTTGGCAGTTCTTAAAGATCCTTGTAAGTCATCAGGCAATTCCCTTTTACCCCGTGCCCACCACTTACCAGTGAATAAGCTTTCCCCCAAAGTCAGCGCTAGTATAATAAAAAGGGTAAAGATAACACGTGGGAAGGTACATATAAATATTGTGGAGCCGCTACTTATTAGAATAACATATTAGATCCTATGACATAATAACATAAAACAAAAATGGATTTTAGCAAGGTCTGATTTAATTATTGCTTTTTAAGAAATTGTCTTTAAAATAAAGGGAAAATAATGAAGGCTGGTTAGTTCTTCTTTTTTCTCCTCCCCCTCCCACTCCTTCTCCCCCCCTCCCTCTCCTTGCCAGAAATGAAACATTCCCTCATCCAGAAATTCAGGGCACCTGATTAGTGAATGCCCTTATCATATTGCTTTAAATGACAGAGAGAGTAAAGCTGGAGTCCTCTATAGTCCGTGAGGCATGAATACAAAGCATAAGAATAAATAGGATGTGGTCTAAATGTCAAATCACCAATACAAAACTGCACCAAACTTCACAATTGTGACTCACGCAAACAACATGTTAGGTCGGTTCAATATAAGAAATAGCGCACCAGCCCTGTGCCTTGATATCCCTTTTCATAAAAAAAGAAAACTCTCACTCACTCCTGAAGCTGGCAGACAGCCATGGAGGAACTACTGTCCAGCCATGTGTCACGATCAACCTGAAATTTTAGCACACGGACACACACACACACATGCGGACGCACACACATGCACACACACGTCATACCCTTGCTCGCGAACATACACTCTTTATACAGGCACACGGAGGCATACACACCATCTTTAGGATTTGTAGCTGATTCCACATCTGTTCTTAAAATTTCTATTCTACATTTTTCTCTTTGTCATCCTGAAAAACACTGGTTATTCAGCAAAAATAATCTCTCTTCCTTCCTTTCCCAGTCTTCCTCCCCCCCCTCCCCATTTCTCTCTTTACCTCCGTGACTTTAACGTTGCCTTTCTCAGATCCAAGAGAGTCCACCCTATGCCCCAACCACTTCTAAGGCCCACTTTAAAATACAAAATAGTTATACACACCATACTTCTGATCAACTATATACCCTTCTGAGGCAGAGCCTGCCCCCTTTCTGTTTTCAATTATTGCCATTCTAAAAACATCCCTACCATCTTGAACCAAGCTGTTTACTGGGTACAGATTTTATCCATATTCCTATCCCCCATCCCATCATAAAAATAGTCATTGCCCACTAAATATAATTTTCATATGAAGAAACAGAACTGTGAAAGTGTGTTTTCCTAAAATGACCAGTCACCAGGATACGCAGAAGGTCCTAAAGCTAATAACCCATTTGGTTTGGCTCTCTCCCCTAGCATTCTCAACCTCCTACCGTAGAACAGATTGCATCTGCAACATGAAGAGATATTGTCTTAAAAATACAGGTCTTTATATATATTGCGACCATTGAGTGTTCCCAATTAAAAATGATTTCACAGAAGCGAGACTGAATCATCAGCGCCCCCTCTTGGGCATCTATGGAAAGAAACACCGCTCGTTTTATGGCTGCTGGAGAAAACGGAGTCGACCCAACAAGTCTGATGCCCCAGGAGAGCAAGGGCGGAATGAAGAGCCTGTCTGCTGTAGACTGCACCAGCCTGGGCCTTGTTTGACGCCTCGGAATGGGACGACTAAGTCACCGCTTGCTCCTTGTCACCCAGCTGAGGCTGGCTTCAGTTCTGCCTGCAGCAGCTATGCTGACTCATCTGTCAGGCCTGTGTCCCTTTGGATTGGTTGTGGAATGGTCCAAAGCCTGGGGCTTCTTTGAATCATGAAGAAATCCTTTCTCTTCTTACTCTCTGGTCTCAGAGTTTGATGGGTGGACTTCTTCGCTTTTTTTTTTTTCCTTTTTGTTTTATTTGTTTATTTTTTTTACCATTGTGCATTGCAGCTTCTGGTCTACATGAGAACTGTTGAGTTTGTAAGCACTTCAATAAATAGTCCGTTAAAATGCTTCTGAATTGATCATTTCTTGGTTTCTTTGCGGAAACTCCTTCAGCAAAGGAGTTTCCTGGGCTGAAGGAAGTCTACTCATTGCCCTCCTCCTCCTCCTGGTTGGCATAAATCCCTGCCTCCCAGCGCAAGGCCAGAGCGCTCTTTCTTCGATTAACCCGTGTGGCCTCCAGGACCTGAAAAAAGAGGGGCAGACGTTAACAGAATTCATTCCATTTCCTTACTCAGCGCCATGTTCACAAGATGAAAGTGATGCGGGATCCGGTAGACTGGGGTAGGTGATGGGCGGAGATGGAACGAGGGGGAAGGGATGAAAGAGGTTGGATGTGACTTCATTTCAAAGCCCAAACCCACTCACTCTCTGATGCATGGACTCTAATATCATCTTTTGTTGCATATTTACTGGTTTCTTTGAACTAGACTTAACTCAGCCTCAGTTTTGTTGGGAGGGGGGGGAGAGTTGTTTATTGTGGTGCTGGAGACTGAACCTGGAGCATCGAACGAGCTGGGCAAACACTCTACAGCTGAGCTCTGCCTGCTCCCCCGAGCTGACTAGTCTAAAGTAGCGCTTGACAAGCTGTCCACGCCTGTTGTGCGCAGACCTTTACGTCACATTGAAGCTGTTTACATCACATTGAAGCTGTTTACATCACATTGAAGCTGTTTATCTGTGGTAGCCGCTATCCACGTGAGGCCAGCAGACCCTTGAAGCGCATTCAGACAGCTGAGAAATGAAATATTTGAGGGGACTTTAAATTTAAGTAGCCTTCTGAGGCTAGTGATCCCCATTTTAAATAGCGCAGACCCTCTTAGCTGACTCATAAGCAAAGATGGGGAAGGAATGTCTATCCTTGGACCAATGTGGATTTGATGCAGTAAGTTTGCATACTCACATAACACTAGGAAAATATCTATATCCCAAGAATCTACTATGGCAGAAAGAAATACCGATGGCCACCGACTGAGGTAGTGGGAAAGTCTTCAGGACAATAGAAAGTCATCAGCATCTGGAGTCTGTGTCATCAAGGTCATACGTACTACTAATAATAAGAGAAACTAAAGGTGACGACATCAAGGCCCAGTAGGCTCACCCCCGTGGGGGTGGGACTTCTCTCCCACATGTTTACTGGAATCATTTGTGGGCTCCCGAGAGAAGACATCAGGCCACTTGTTTCAGTTTTCAGTTTGGATAGGATGGAACCCACGTGAAAGGCACGTGAGTGGCCAGGACACAGGGCAAGGTTCCAGGTCAGGACCACTGTAACAAAGGCAAGTTCACAAACAGCCCTCTGCTGTTCACTGAGGCTGCAGAGCTTCTGATACCAGAGAAAAGTCCTGGTTGGTTTTCTGAACCACAACAAACGCTGTGCTTCTTCTAAAAATGGTCACCGGAACAAGGGGCAGTGACGTTGGCAACTCCGGAGGGGTAGGAAGATGCCACGTGGAAGCAAATGCCGGGTAGACTACGGGGTCAGGGTCCATCCTGGCATGCTACCTTATATCTGTGCCAAATGCAAAGACTACCCATAGCTTCTGGATGCTTCCATCTGAAGGTCTTCCCCTTGTCTCCCAACACGGGACAGCTGGACTTGACAGGGAGGTGACAGCCAGTCACCTTTGCTGTGTGAACAATGCGCTGTTGAGAGTCACAGCCATGTCATGACTAGCCCCGTGCAGAAGCACACACTGGAGGAAAGCAGGCTGCCAAGCTAAACAGGAGTTTCCTGGCCAATGCTTGATAGCACGAGGGTGAGGGATAACAGCACACGGAGTGTAATACCCGAGCCCTACAGTTTTCTCTCTTGTTCATCTCGTATTTCAAGTCTTTGCCTGCTCAATGGAGACTGCACTTGCCCTAACAGCATGGGCTTTCTCAGATGGTAGGATGGCCTCTGGAGCTCAATGAGATCTACACTTTAAACTGTATGGACAACGTGACCGTGCCTTAAGTCACAAACTCCAGCGCTTCGATATCCCCCCACGTCAAATGGGCAACGTAAAAGCCACAGTGTGGGGTCTGCCCCAGGGACAAACAGTTTCAGGTGCTGTAGCCTTCAAAGGATCACTCCCAGCCTCTGAGAGGTCACAGATCCTGGAGTGGAATAGAAGCACAGATTGTATAAAGACCTCTGTGCTGTGTGAATTGCTCATGTTGGCCTGAGACATTCCCAGGAGCATGAAAATAAAGTGAAGGTCCTGGAAAAGGTTTCCTAAAAAAATAAAAATAGCCAGGCGGTATGGTGCCTGCCTTTAATCCCAGCACTAGGAAGGCTGAGGCAGGTGGATCTCTGTGAGTTCGAGACCGATTTGGTCTACAGAGCAAGTTCCAGGACAGGCTCCAAAGCTACAGAGAAACCCTGCCTCGAAAAACCAAAATAAATAAAAAGTAAATAAACAAATTTTTTATAAAAAATACATAAAAATAATTTTAAAAGGTTTTTGCCTTGCTAGCTAAGCCCCTCCCCCTTAAAATATTTATTTATTTTTATGTATGTGAGTTTTTTGCCTGCATGGATGCTTGTGCACCACTTGTGTGCCTGGTGCCTGCACAGGCCATAAGAGGGCAGTAGATGCTCCTGGAACTGAAGTTGCAGGCAGTTGTGAGCTGCCATGCAAGCGCTGGGATTGAAGCCAGGTCCTCTGGAGGAGCAGTCAGTGCCGGGAACCATCGGTCCATCTCTCCAGCATCCCCTTTCCTTTTTCTTTTGAGAAAAGTTCCTGTCTTGCAGCCCAGGCTATCCAAGAATTCACAATCCACCTACCTCCGTCCTAAGTACCTCCGTACTAAGACGAATGGTACGTGGGTCCCACACGTGGCTTTAAGTCTCTTTTAATGTTTGTAAATCTTAGTTAAATTTCGTTCCTTCAGAAACCCATAGTAGCATTCCTCTACCTGATCGATTGACCAATGGTGACTGGGTTCCTAACACGCCATATGTGGGGTATGAGCGTTCCTTTCCTCAGAGAATTCAGTCACAAAGGGTACATCGGGCAGGAAAATTATAATTATAGAAACGTTTCGCATAGCTTGAGTTTAAACATCTAATGATCAAGAACTCAAATAACTCATGGAATGTAAACATGAGCTCTTAATTCATTCCCTCTGATCTGAATGTCCTTCTCATGTGACCACCAATTTCTGATCAAATCTAAATGCCCCTGCTAAGACACAGAGAAGAAAAGGAATGAGCCAGTACTGAAACGGCTGAGAACCTCCGTGTAAAGCTGCCCTAGGGCTCTGGAAGCTTAGAACTGTGGCCTTGGGAAGACTCAAAAGCCAAGCCCTCAGGGGAGGTATGAATGAGTTCTAGTTCTATAGTTAATTCAGATATGGGTGAAGGGTGTACGTCTTAGTTGCTAGTAAACTCTGAACTCTTAATACTTCTATCATTGCCCATTAACTTGGCTTTCTAAAGCCTTTTCTGGGCCCGAAGCGAATGTGTCTGGGGTTCTAGTCAAAGGACGCTTTCAATCACAAGGACTACGAACCAGTTACTATCTTAATGCTCAGTTTTCAAATGTTCTAGAAGCTTCATGCTGTCACTGTTCACATTGACCTCCTAGGAGGCTGACACAAGGGGAAGTAACTTGCCCTGCACTTCTCAGTCCATAGAAGGAAAGGCCGAGATCTAAACTCAGCTCTCTCCACAGGTGGAGTCGATCCTTGAGGCCATCAAGCCACACGGTTCCCCAGCAGCTGTGAGACACGGGAAGCAGCAAGCAACCCTTGCAACCCAATTCAAGGTTTTCTCACAGCAATTCCTCGGGCACGGTGGAAGAAAAACTATCAATTCTTGTTGAACAATCCCTAAAACTGTCTTTCTAATGCGTGGGCATTTCAAGGCCGCTTTCAACTTTTCAGTGGCAGTCAAACGAGGGCTAGGAAATAAGGGACAAATGGGTTGAATTGCTGAGTGACTCCATTAGTGTTCGAGCTGACCCGTGATCCTCCTGCATCTTCGGCTGAAGACTGATTGGCCCAATCCTGCCTTCATTGTATACCCTTGGCCAGAGTTTCTCTGTTCTAAACCATACTGCCTCAGGGAGGATGTGGGAGCAGGGCCTGATTCTCCAAGGGCTACTTCCTAAATGAGGACCACAGACAGACAATGAGGAAGGGACATGCCATGACAGTCTCAACGTTAGCTTTAAAGTCTTATACGCCAATCGGTCACGGATAGATTACATCTATAGCTACAAAACACAGTTACTCTGCTAATAATGAGCCATAATCAAAATACACATGGTGCTGAGCCATAATCAAAATACACATGGTGCTAGAGGTTGGTACAACCAACGAGAAGAACATTTGCAGGAGCTGGTCAATGAGAGTATGCCCGGTGGAAGGTAGAACATTGTACCACGCATGCACAGAAAGATGTGTGGTGACAGTCACGGGTGCTTGCCTAGCATGCAAGAGGAGCTAGGTTCAATCCCCAGCACAATGCCACCAAGCAGCCAAGAAACCCCTCAACAGTTCGTCAGAAACAACTCAATCCACATTCCCATCAGCATGAAACTGATGGAGAAGGGGATTTAGTCTTTCAACAGAACACTGCTCAGCAGTTCAGAGGAAGACACTAGAAGCGCACGTTAAACAGAGACACATCTAGGAACTGTGGGATAGGAGCTGCAAAGATGGCTCAGTGGTTCAGAGAACTCGCTGCTTCTGTAGAGGACCAGGGTTTGAATCCCAGGGTCCGCATGGCAGTTTAGAACCATCTGCAACTCCAGTTCTAGGAGAGCCAGTGCCCTCTTCTGGTCTTCAAGGGCACTGCATGCACAAGGTGCACAGACATACATGCAGCCCAAACTCCACATACATAAAATAAAAGCAATTGAATAAAGTGAGAAGAGGATCCCATCATGTGACTTACCATTTATAGAAAGTTTAAAACGTGCACACACACACACACACACACACACACACACACACACATCCTTAAGGTGTTCCTTATGTGGTATAAAAACATGCACAAGAATGAACACCACAGCAACAGTGATCCCTCCGAGGAAATACAGAATGACAGAACCAGAAAAATGGGAACTGGGAGAAGTAACAAGAGGGCTTGAACTGGATTGGCCACACTGCGTCCTTTGAAAACATCTAGCCAGTAGGAGTGGGGCAGGGACAGGGCAGAGGCTGTGCAGGCTGGCTCCAGGGTTGCAGGAGCATGCTGCAGCATGCCTTCTTGAGCTCTACTATAGTGCCGATTCAGAGTCAACCCTCCATTAGTTATGAGCTGGGTGGATGAATGATTCCCTCTGCAGTTGTGTACTTTTGAAATAAAAATGCAATACTATATAGAAATGAAAATTTACAGAAAAAAAACAGAAACATGAAAAAAAGAAAAACGATTTTTTAAAAAGAAAAAAAAACAGGACTAGATAAACAGTGCTTGTCTGACATGAATCGAGTCTCGAATTCAATTCCAAGCATGCACACGTATGTATGTGTGTGTATGTATGTATGTGTGTAGTATGTGTATGTATGTATGTATGTATGTATATATATATTATACACAGCATTTTAAAATTTTTAATTTTGGTGGTCAGCAGGGAGACAGAGTTTCTCTGTGTAGCCCTGGCTGTCCTGGAAATCTCTATGTAGACAAGGCTGGCCTCAAACTCAGAGATGCTCCTGCCTCTGCCTCGCAAGTGCTGAGATTAGAGTCAAGTGCCACCATGCTGGACTTTACATTTTTTAATGTGCATGTGTCTTGAATTCAATTCCTATTGTATGTGTGTGTGTGTACATCTTTACACACAGAATAATACTGCATTTTAAAATTGTTTAAATTTTTAAGTTTATGTGTATGTGAATGTGAGCATGTGTATGTGTTTGTGTGTGTATGGTATGCATGTATGTATGTTTGTATACATTCATCAGGTAGGTGTCTGCAGGTTAGAAGAAGGTGTCAGATCCCCTGGAGAAGAGTTACAGGAGATTGGGACCCACCAGATGTGGATGCTAGAAACCAAACTCCCTCTTATTCTCCGCAGGAACAGCAAGCATTCATAACTGCTGAGCCGCTCTCTGCAGCCCCACCAGGACTGCATTCTTACAGCACACATATTAGTCCAAGACTGGAGAGAGGAGGGAGACCTTGGGACGGTCATCCCACATCCAAAGAGCAGAGCTCTCTGGGAATCATGTTAAGGTTAATAAAGGACTAGTCAGAACCACAAGCTCAGCCTGTAGGGGTGGCACTGTGTGCTAAGTGGACCAGAATATATCTGCTACTTGTGCCTGAAGAGAAGTGTCTACACAGCCAGCCAATAACTGCCCTCTAGTTCAAAGTTCTCCAGATCCACGGGTGACCAAGGTCTTCTCGAACCCCCTCCCCAGCCCAGCCCAGCCCAGCCCAACACAGCACAACACAGCACAGCACAGCAGTGGTCACTGTTGTGTGGACTCCAGCATAGGAGTCAGCTCCCCAGGTCACAAAGGCCAGGCAGAAAACACACATGGTGAGAAGGCATTGCTGCTCTTATTGAACACAGCAGGAGACAGCAAACCACGACAGTGTGCACCAGGAGCAAGCATGCATCAGGACCCAGACAGACAAGTTGAAAAGTACCTCGGAAGTCACCTTGCAAGACAGTAACTTAGAGGTGTACTGGCAGAGAGGGGAAAAAACCAGGGTTAGTACACGGTAGAGACACAGTCACAGACTTCCCCTCCCTTGGCGGCTGGGCACTGGCGCCGTGCCGGAAGTGAGTAGGCGGGGAAGAGGCTTGTGGGTACCACCATCCAGCCTCTCCAAGTGTGGCTTCATCTGATATTTGTTTATTTAAAGGTCTGTATCTCTTGAGGCAAGTTGATACCCTATTGCTCACGAATACAAATATCAGATAAGCCGGGCTTTGTTAATTCCAGGTGTTGCTTTCACTTTCCGCACACTGAATTAACAAGATTTTTTCTTCTCCCCCATTGTCTAACCAGCTGCCCACCAGCAAGGACCTAGATGGCCATTCTGGACTGGACGGATTCTGTAACCAGATAGCCCTTTCTTTTCCTGTGGGCTTCTCTGAACCTTTAACAGTCTTGTACCCCATTGCGCTGTTATAGTAAGACCCCAATAATCGAATAAAGAGAGGAGGACATAAGGGGAAAGGGAGAAAAATGGGGGGTGGGGGAAACACCAGGTTTGTGGAGGCAGGTTGCCTAAGCTGACCTGAGGATGGCACTATTTAACTAACCACAGCTTCCCTCATCAGAACCCTGTGGGTCTGGAGAAGAGTCCAAGCGTGGGATGACCCTTGGATCATCATTTGAGATGATTACTTAGGATTAGTGTGAAAAGGGAATGGTCTTTTAGCTCCTGGAGACACTCATTGCCAGTCCAGATGGGCGAAGGCTGCTAGGAGTAGTCTGCCCGAGTTTGGAGAGGCCCTTGAACTGTGGGTAGGGTTCTAGGTTCTAGAGAGTATCGTTGCTCTGGTGTGACTTCAGGGGTGATTTCTAGTCTGCCAAAGAGCCATCAAGGGTGATACCAGTTGACAACTAAAAGTGTCAGCATGAACCATGGAAGGTTCTTGGAGGGCAGAAAATCCAAGAAGCCACTTGTCACCCTAAGACCAAAGTGTGTGAATGGGGTCAGGAGAACAGAACTGCATGGCCTTGAACAGAATCTCTGTTAGCCTCTAGAGACAGGGGAGTCGGCTACATAGCCACCAGCAAGCATCTATCTCCTCCTTGTTATCATTCTGGTACACGAGACAAGGAAAAATGGGATTAGGGAGCAACTCGGGGGGCGGGGCATGAAACTTGTTCTCTACACAAAGACAATGAGAAGGTGCCCTACATTAGACAGGCCAGTAGGTGGTTTGGAAATCAATTTTGCCTGATGCCCACGTAATTCCTCAAGAAGAAACCTGAGTATGGGTTTTTGAGATTTGGGTCTCTTTTAAAAGGGGGCAGGGAGGGGAACAGGGGATTGGATAGATTTTCAACCTATCCCTAAAAATGTTCAGCACTTGACAGATTTTGTTCTATGGCAATACCAGGAAACGTTCAAGACATCCCACCTTCAAATAATAATAAAAAACAAACCGATTCACTAAAAGGTTTCTTTCCTAATCAACAGGTTGCTTGATTTCCTTGGGTGAACTAGAGACAGGAGACCCCCAGCGCTTTAGAAGGCTGACTCCAGGCCACCTCATTCATTCGAAGAGGAAACGGGGACTGGTTGGCATTCCTAAGGTGGGTGCCTGAGTGTCAGTGTGCCTGACGGAGGGTCTAGTTTTCTGCCTATGATGTGAGCATCTACTATGTCGCCGGCAGACCTTGACTATGTTATCTTCCTAGGACAGATTCCCAGCGCCTGGGATTAAAGACCTGCGCCATCAAGCCGGGAACATGCTTCCCTCCCATCACATCTGTAATCCAGGGCTAAAAGCACACACAAGAACCATAGGACGCACGTAGGTCCACGACTCTTGGGCTAGCTTCCAGCAAAGCTGCTGATGTACACCATCGAATCGTGGGGAGAGAAGAAACCGTAGGCTGCTACGCCTGCACTTCAGCCTGCAATGAACAGTGCCTAGAGAGGGACTGCCCAACTGGCACCACTAACATGACTTAGAAGACATCAGTTGCTACTGGCAACTGCCCAGTGAAACCCAGTACAACCGTCTGTAGCAGCTACCCAGGGCAGGGTTCTAGCCAGACAAGCCTCTTGGCCGCTCAGGGTAGCTAAGCAAGTGTTCCTTCATGCTTAGGCAGAGGGATGTGTGTTTTCATCTTTTCTTTATCGCTCTTAGTTGAAAAGAAGCCTTCAGCGTTTGGCACTTATTCCAGAAACTCTTGAACGCGGGATTATCCAGCAGGGATATGAAAGGCAGGGAGCTAGCAGGAACTTTCTATTGTGACCCACAGTGCACTCTAGTTGAGGGTGACTACATAGTTTATCCAAACTGGGATGCTCTGGAGAGTTAAAGGGGAGGTTATACAGAGATATACCAGGACAACAGGCAGTGGGGTAGTTTATCAAGCCAAGCTATTTGTGACCTCAGTGTAGTGGTAAGTGTGTGGGGGGGGGGAGGGCTTTGATGCAAGATAAATGACAGATGCCAGAGAGTTTAGAGTATTTGTCTGAACAATCGGCTGCCCCCAGGCTCATGGGGGACCATTCAGCGCACCTCATACTTCTCTTACTAGACAAAGGAACCACAGAGCAGACGACTACCTTCATAGCGCACACGACATGCGTGTGCACAGTTCTGAGTGTTGAAGGTAAATTGGTAGTGGTGTTGCTTTTAGCCGACATTTAAAATGGCTCTTTCAGCCAGGTGGTGGCAGCGCACGCCTTTAATCCTAGCACTCGGGAGGCAGAGGCAGGTAGATCTCTGTGAGTTCAAGACCAGCCTTTAATCCTAGCACTCGGGAGGCAGAGGCAGGTAGATCTCTGTGAGTTCAAGACCAGCCTGGTCCGCAAAGCAAATTCCAGGACAACCAGGGTTGTTACACAGAGAAACCTTGCCTTGGAAAACCAAATAAATAAATAAATAAATAAATAAAGAAGATGGCTATTTCCTATACAACTATGCTCACAAAGGGCTCCAAACAGTTCTTGAGCAGTGTGCAACACACAAGGATGCAAGGGTTGGTCACGGCACAGATTCTGAAGCCTGAGGTGCTTCCAGAGAGTGTGCATTCTTCTGCATTGCACAGACTTTATCTTCCTCCACACCCACCATCTCACGTACCAGCCTTGTCCACCACCTCAAGCTTGACTCAGCCGCCAGGACCAGCTCTTGATCACAGACATTCTTGTGACACGAAACAAGACCCTCCCGAGGCACCTTAAACCACTCATTTAAAAATAGGTTTCAGATCCACGATGCAAGACAGCCAGATAAACGCACACACATCCGGGACTGAACACGCATACCACGCTGCCAGTCACCCTCAGAAAAGAGAAAGGAAAGGAGGAGAAACTTACACTACTATCATCCATTCTCTCGCGCCTTTTAGATTTGTGTGTCTCATAGTCTTCCATGAGGGTCTGCATCAGGTTCTTGGGCCGCTGGGTTCCGGCAGCCTCTTCGGGGGATAAGTCAGGCTGCAAGCTGGGACCTTCGGTTGTGGGGGATGGAGGAGGTTTGACTTTCTCTATTTTCCCTGAAACAACATGAAGAGAACACCCTTTCTAAGCTTATCTGCTCAGCACTGCTTTGAGAAAGAGGAAAAAAAAAAAAAAACTGGTTCACACACACACACACTCGCAAAATCAAGAGCAGAACAGAGTCATGGTTAAGTGGAAGGGTTTCATTACAAGAACACACTCAGCGCACACACCACAGGGACACCAGACTGAGAGTCAGCTAACTCAAATGGGCATGGCAGGCACTTTGCAACGTGTCAGACAGACAGGACATTAGCTCCAAGGCTGTGGAGACATGGATTCTCTCAGATCACAGCATAAGGCTATCAGAGGTGGCAGCATCGTAGAGACCAGTTTCTTACAGGTGAGGAAGTTGAGACTCTCCGAAGGCCACCGAAGCCAAAGACGGTCCCCAACACTCCTGGCATCCTCTGCCCTCCTCATCAGAAGTAACAGATTACCAGCTGACCTGTCCGAGTATCACAAAGTCTTTGAATGAGAACGAGACTCCAGATTCTCAGGAGACACCAGTCTTAACTGGGCAGATTCCTTCATTTACCTTACCTGTTAAAGACCCAAAGGCGCCCCTAGGCTTTTTGGAACGAGACGAGAATGACAACTAAGGATAGAGTTGGAAAGGTAAGGTTTTAACTCTTGAGATTACCCCTCAGGAATTCTCAGGCAAGGTGATTAGAGCAATAGTTAAACAGCAGTGTGGGGCCGAGTCACATTCTCTAAAACCAACCGCATCCTTCAAAAACGTGTCAGACAGAGAGACAGATACTGGCTCCAAATAGCCAAAGGATATGTATTCTATCACAGATCACAACAGCAGGATGTCGAAGGAGTTGGGACCTTGGAGACTTGCTTTGCTTTTAAGACAGTATCTCCTGTTGTCAAGGATGGCCTTGAACTCACTACAGGGCCCAGCTGGCTTCAGAACTCACTTCTCCTGCCTCCACTTCCCAGGCGCAAGGATGCCAAGCTTAGCCACAATGCCTGGTTTCTGCAATGCTGGAGACTGAACCCAAGCAAGCCCTCTACCAGCTGAGTGCCTCAGCCCCCAGAGACCCATGTCTCACAAGTGAGAAATCCTCGGCCTTCACTTCTGGATCAAGGCACACATGGGTTTCAGTGCCACAAAGACTCAACTGCATCTCCGAGAAGGTGAACGGTTTTCTTACCATGCCAACTGTGGATGACATGGTTGGGGCCTGCAACAGGAAATAGGAAGCAAACACACTACAGAGATGGGTCCATTCAAACATTCAAGAGTTGGGGGAAAATCCAAATTCCTTTGTCTTTTCTTTATTTCTCATTACAGATGTCTAGTGTAGTCCTTGCCATGTAGAAGGACTTACAGAAAGGCCTAGAGTGAGTTTCTGGAAGGCAGAAGGGAGGCAGGGAGCAGCAGCCTTTAAGCCATACAAACTCCTTTTGAGGGGAGCGGGAACATACGTAACCCAGAAAGCCCAGGGGTTTTGATGTTTTATGATTTGTTTTGTTTTTTTTTTTTTGAGACGGGGTTTCTCTGTGTGGTCCTGGCTGTCCTGGAACTCATTCTGTAGACCAGGCCAGCCTTGAACTCAGAGATCCACCTGCTTCTGCCTCTGGAGTGCAGGGATTAAAGGCAGGTGCCACCAACGGCAAAAAGCCCTTGTTCTTTTTAACTCTTGCTCTTCTTTGAACTCTCTAAGCGGCTGGAGACAGGTCTCCTTGAAAGATCCACTTCGGCCCTGAGCTAATCATTCACATTCTATTTGATTTAATTCCCATGCTTGTGAAAATGAACATTTGGAAGGTGTGGTCTCTGTGAGCTCTTCTAACTCATTGTATTGATTTTTAAGGGGTGTAGGGGAGACATGAGGCCATGCATTTGAGGATCAGGTGAAAAGCAGCTATTAACATAGAGAAGAGGACTCTCATCTTCACAGCCACAATTATAGTAGTAATTTATTGAAGCCTGTATAAGTCAGGTAATGTCTTTGTATATTAACAGTAAAATATCTCAAAGTCTTCAAATTCATTAGCTATGAATTTTGTTTTTTAATTATGGAAATTAGGTAAGACTATAAAGACCAAATACGTATCACAAACATCATTTGGACAAGCATTTACCAAGATTTTCCCATCACCCCTCCATCTGAAGACTCGCTGAATTTTAAAAACTAATTCTAGAGTTAAGGCCATTTCAGCCTTGAGTGCTTAGTACATACCAACTAAAACTTACTACTGAGTATTTAATGTTAAAAAAAAATTGAAGCTGGGCAGTAATGGCACACATCTTTTAAAAAAAAAAGTTTATTATATATAGTATTCTGCTTGCAGGCCAGAAGAGGGCACCAGATCTTATTACAGATGATTGTGAGCTACCATGTGGTTGCTGGTAATTGAACTCAGGACCTAGGGAAAAGCAGCCAGTGCTCTTAACGACTGGGCCATCTCTCCAGCCCATCAGTGGCACACATTTTAATCACAGCGCTACAGAGGCAGAGGCAAGTGGATCTCTGTGAGTTTGAGGCCAGCAGGTCTACAGAGCCTGGTTATTCCATAGCCCAGCAGAACAAAACCCATCCCTGACGCAAGAAGCAATACCAGCAACAGTCACTAGAGGTCGCACACGAAGCAAGGCTAGCTTAGCAGCGCTGGAGGAGCGGCCTCCAAAGGGAGGTCATTGACAGAAGAGGCTTCAGATACCAAGCCCAAGGAGGGACTGTCACAGGTCCCCAGAGACAAAGGAGAAACTGTGTTTCATCCCCCAGACTGCTGGTCATCACCCTTGGCATTTTCACAAGATGCTATAATGGTCCGCCTTCTCTGCCAAGCATCCCCCTCCACAGTATGGATCAGGTTATACCTGAGACTCCAGCCTCAGGAGTCACACGAGCCACTACGAAGCTGGAGAGGAACTGCTCTGCGGCTGACTTGTTCCTCGGGGTCCTGAGTTGGGTGTCAAAGGCTTCTCACACAGGATGATGGGGGGGGGGGGGACTTCTGCTACTTCTCCTCCAGCACCTCAGTGTTCAGGGGGTCATTACAAGACCATAAAGCATATGGTCTGTGCACATGTCACATTAATCTATGGCCTCATAGAGGCCCCCCAGGTTCTGTGACCCCAGAGTAGAATCCCCAAACTGTAGACTATCCTGGCTGTCATGGCGATGTCACTGCTCCAGTATCCCTGCTTTCGTCCCAGCTGGGCTCATCAAACCTCACTCTTGACTTTGTCTATTTGTTCAGTGATTAGTCAAGTACCCGATGACACCTGAAAATGGCCTCCCTGTCCTCTGATTAGTATTCTGCCATTCAGACTCTCTCTGGGGTGGGCCTTTCTCACAAAATGGCCTACTTGAAGGATTGTCTGGATCCCTGGGAAACGAGAGCAGACCGTGACAGGCAGAGCTGGGGGTGGAGGGTGGCTGTGCTGGCTTAGGTGAAGGCTGGGACTGATCTTTACAAAGCATGGAACAGGAACAGCGCAACCTCTGCGACCGTGACAAAGAGATCAGCAGGACAGAAGCAGCCTGTGGTTCTGAGTGGAGGCAAGGAAGCATGGCTAACGTGTCTCGTAAACATAATCTTCTCTAAAATAATGGAACTATTTGTACTTCACATTTTGAAGACAATTGAGGGCAGGCAGCCTCCCATGTCTGGGCTCATTCCTACTCTCTTGGCTGTACGAAATAATCCTTAATGCTACAAACAAATCAACAGCATTGCACAAGTAAATTGCCAAACACTGGGTTAAAACGGGAGTGTATGGGCCAGTAAGACGACTCAGCAGGTGAAGGTATTTGCTGTCCAGCCTAATGACCTGAGTTCAACGTCTGGGATCCATGTAGTGCAAAGAGAGATAACTGACTCCTGCCAACTGCTCCCTGACCTCCACGTGTGCATCAAGGCAGGCACACACCCACACCCGCTGTGGTAGCTTGAATGTAATTGGGCCCCATAAGCTCCCAGGGAGAGACACTATTAAGAGCTGTGACCTTGTTGGAGGAAGTATGTCACTGTGGGGGTGGGCTCTAAGGTCTCCTATGCTCAAGTTACTCCTAGTTCAGCTAACTTCCTGTTGCCTGCAGGACCAAGATGCAGCTCCTTCTCCAGCACCACGTCTGTCTATGCACTGCCGTGTCCCGCCATGACAATAATAAACTAAACCTTGGCAACTGTAAGCCACTCCAATTAAACATTTTCCTTTATAAGGGTTGCCATGGTCATGGTGTTGCTTTACAGCAATAGAAAATAGAAACCCTAAGATACTCACCCATAACCATACACAATAAATGTGTCTATGTGGTGGTTTGTTTCCATAGGCTCATATAGCTGAATGCACATTCACCAGGGAGTGGCACTACCTGAAGGAATTAGAAAGGTTAAGAGGTGTGGCCTTGGTGGAAGTATGTCACTGGGGATGAACTTGGAGGTTTCAAAAGCCCACGCCAAACCCATAGTCTTTCTTTCAGCCTATGGATCAGGATATGTGGCTCTCGGTCACTGCACCAGTGTCTGCCTGAAGTAGTCATGCTTCCTTGCCATAATGATAATGGATTAAACCTCTGAAATGTGAGCAAGAACCCAATTAAATGTTTTGTTTTTAAGAGTTGCCTTGGTCATGGTGTCTCTTCCCAGCAATAGAAATCCAAAGACAGTATGTATGTGTATATATGTGTGTGTGTGTGTGTTTGTGTGCGTGTGTGTAAACATATAAATCATTTACAAGGTGTGTTGATGTGTGGGAGAGCCTTATGAGAAGACTTCTTGTTTCTGTGTTGATATTGCTATAGCTGTGAACCTCAAATTCATGAATGGGAGCACAGATCGCTTAAATTCATTTAACAGGAGAATCCTGATTCATGGAATTCCTACTAATGTCAGAAGGAAAATGGCTCACGAAATTCTCTAATATATAGTAGCTGACCAACCCCCAAGGGAAGACCATGCAAGCCCAACCAATATCTAAGCAAAGACATAAAGCTGTACACCAGAATTTCTTTTGTTTTTTTTTTCATATTTA